AGCAGTTTGGTCAAACTCATGCTGGTAGCTTCGAGAACACTGTCCAACCATCTCGTCCTCTGTCATCCTCTTCTCCTTGTGCCCTCCATCTTTCCCAACATCAGGGTCTTTTCCAGGGAGTCTTCTCTCTCATGAGGTGGCCAAAGTATTGGTGCCTCAGCATCACGATCTGTCCTTCCAGTGAGCACTCAGGGCTGATTTCCTTCAGAATGGAGAGGTTTGATCTTCTTGCAATCCATGGGACTCTCAAGAGTCTCCTCCAGCACCATAATTCCAAAGCATCAATTCTTCGGCGATCAGCCTTCTTTAGGGTCCAGCTCTCACTTCCATACATCACTACTGGGAAAACCAGAGCTTTAACTATACGGACCTTTGTTGGCAAACAGAATATACGGTAGAGTAAAATTTTAAAAAATTCTGCAGCGTACCCATTTGAAACCTGTTCGCATACCCCTGCCACATTTTGGGGAACACTGCTGTAACGGAATATATTTAAGAAAGATACAGTCATACCTCGAGTTACAGCCGCTTCAGGTTGTGGTTTTTCGGGTTGCGGACTGCCGAAACACAGAAGTACCGGAACGGTTTTGGCGGCCATGCATGTGCAGAAGCATTTAATTGCGCTTTGCGCATGCGCAGAAGCGCCGAATCGCAACCCACGTGTGCGCAGACTCGGGTTGCAAACGCTGCGGGTTGCGAACGTGCATCCCACACAGATCACGTTCGCAACCCGAGCAAGCAGGAAAGTGTGCAGAGAAGGGCGACCAAGATGACCCAGGGTATGGAAACCAAGCCTGATGAGGAACAGTTGAAGGAGCTGGGTATGTTCAGCCTGGAAAAGAAGAGGTTGAGAGGAGATAGGAGAGCCATCTTCAAATATCTCAAGGGCTTTCACACGGAAGAGGGAGGGAGCAAGCTTGTTTTCTCCTGCTCTGGGGGGGTGTGTGTAGGACTCGAACCCATGGCTTCAAGTTACAAGAAAGGCGATTCCGACTAAATGTCAGGAAGGACTTTCTGGCGGTAAGACCTGTTTGACGGTAGAACTGCCACAAGAGATGGTGGACTCTCCTTCCTCAGAGGTCTTAACGCAGAGTTTCGATGCCTGTCTGCCAGAGATTCTTCAGCTGAGATTCTTGCATTGCAGGGGGTTGGTCTAGATGACCGCTGGGGTTCCCTTCCAACTCTACAGTTCTATGATTCTGTATATATGTATGTAATACAAGCCTAGGTAATAAATCCTTTTGCGGTGACAAAAACCAGGGTCCCTGCCCAGCGGCTTCACATAATCCAAATGCGGCAATATTAAAAACTACCAGACTTTTAGAAGACATCTGAAGGCAGCACTGTTTAGGGAAGCTTTTAATTTTTGATGTATTATGGTGTCTTAATATTTTGCTGGAAGCCGCCCAGAGTGGCTGGGGTATAAATAATAAATTATTATTATTATTATTATTATTATTATTATTATTAAAGAGGCGCAAAAACGCCACTCAAACTTCCCCAGTCGCTGAACCTACAATGTTCGCATTTACAGCTCTCTGGTTTGTGGGAGCAACTTGAGAAGCCGGTTATTATTAGACGGCTCTGTGGGCAATTTCGCTGCGGTCGCCAGTCGCAGTTTACGAGCGTCCTTCGCCCACAGACCCAGTTCGGCGTTCCAGCTGCTGGATCACTAACCGCCTTTTCCTCCCAAGGGGTAACCTCCGTTCAGGGGCCTGTTGTGATTGCGGGACTTTGCAAAGCAGAGAAACTGGTCGGGATCAGAGATGGACAGCAGCCTGGCTCAGACTGGCACCTGTCCATCGCGTTGCGGGCGTTGGTCTTGGGGACGGAGGGAGGAGAGAAAGGACAAAGAGAGGAGGGGAAGAAGAAAAATAATGACTAGGGAGAGTGGAATGTTATTTACCGCGAAGCACTCGGAACAACACAATGGGAAAACTGGGAATGTGGCAGCGTGCGGGCCAGGTAGTTCGGCATTTGCCAACCTGGTGCCCTCTGGAAGGGCTGAAGAGGAATGAATCGTGGTTGGAGAACCCCCCCAAGGGAAGAAGGCTCAAAGCCCAGGGAGTAAACCCAGAGGAAAAATCTGTACCCGCTGCCTTGCCATACAAGAAAAGGAGAAGAAAAGGCTACGGTGTCAACTCCACCTTGGATGGACTGGCAGATGGAATTCAGTGGCTACTGGAACAAATCAAATATAAAAATGCCCAGTAACCAGGCTTGTTTACATTCATTCACATATACCGGTACATTGCTGCATGCCCACTTGTGGCAAGGAGAAGAAGGGAGCCCACCTGGCTTTTCCAGGGAAAGAGTTCCAGAGTCTGGGGGCAGCCACCACCAAGAAGGCCCTTGAGAAAGCCTTCTTCAAACAGTGGCTGTCTTCCAACACAAATGAGACGGAATATGGGCTGAGTGAGATCAAATCTAATTTTGGTCCAGGAGAGACAGGACCTGTCACAGCAGCCAGAAATGCATGTCCGAAAACAGGGCAATAAGGGACGCTGTTTATGTTTGCAGCGCTAATAGCAACAGACGGAATCGTTTTTATTTATTTTGCTTTGCCTGGGTTGCTGCTTGGAATGCACTGTGGGATTGGAAGAAGGCAAGCTCAGAGCAGTGACTCATGCTGGGACGCGGCAGGAAATGTCCTCTGAGGTCAGGTACTTCTGCCAAATCCCAGGAGCAAAGGAATTATCCCGCCCCGGGTACAAAGATACAGCAGAACCACCTTCGCTGGTGATCGCTAACTGGGAAGAGGTGAGGCCAGAACGGCAACTCAGACAGAGATGCAGCAGGCACTCTGGGGGAAGACGCTCTGGAGTCACAGGAGTCTTAGTGAATTCCTTGTATAATGGTAGTGGCTCCGAATCACACAATTCTCCCCAAATGTGCTGGGCCCGGGGGTAACCCGAGCAACACGGTCCAGGTCCCGAATCCAAGGGTTCTGCGAGGAGTCAGTCCGAAAGGGCCAAGGCAGGACACGAGGCAGGAAACCAGGCAAGGACAGGTACAGGATTTCAGGCAGGATCTAGAATACAGCAATGTTGCTCCCACAACCTGGGGCGGGGTCCGACAGCCTTTTACTGTATCTTTGTTGGGGTAGCGGCCGGTCCTGATCCCCCGGTGACTCACCTCCCTGTTTCGCCTGAAGGCGAGCACTCCTCCTGCGAGTACTCAGGTCTCTCCTTCTCTCAGACCTTAGTCTCTGCAGCTCGGGAGACGTCGGTGGGTTACTAGGCCCAGGGGCCACCTCAGCCTCCCCTGACCCAACCGGTAGTGGAGCAGCTGTAAGTGATGGCCCAGCTGAAGGCAACGAGGTCATCCCCACCTCTGGAGCCAGGGCAGGCTCACGCCCCTGACTCAGCCCAGCTGGTGTTTGTTGCATGGGAACCAGTGCAGACTGGGACTCTTCAGGATCAGGCCCCAGACTTGGTTCAGCTTCCACCTGAGGCAAAGGATCCGGTGCAGACTGAGACTCCTCTGGCTCCAAGTCTGAGCCCGAGTCCCAGGCCATCTCACCAAAGCCCACTTCCTGCCTGCTGCTTTCTGTTCCAGCGGTTTCTTGCTCTGGATTTTGTGGGTACCAGCGACGCCACCTCCTCCTGCGCCAATCAGACGAAGGCCCCCCCGCGCATCAGTGTCATGATGCAGCCATGTGCCACTGGCTTCCATTTAATACGAAAAATATCCACCAAGCCACACACTGGTCACACGCACGACTCCCCTTTCAGAGAGCAAGGAAAACAATCACCCAGCAATCGGCGCCAACCCCTCGCTTGGCCCGACGTCCCCCCAAAAGCCAGATCTCAAAGCCCAAACCCGCAGCTAAGTTCCCGGACCTCTTCGCCCATCTGCAGTTTTTGGATTCAAGACTCATCATGGGCTGGCTTCAATTGCTGCATGTGGTTAATGCCCCCAAAATATGGTGGCTTTTGTTTTCGTTTTGCAGTCATGCCTTGTGGGGTCTGGAAACTGAGAGCTGAAGCAAACGCACGCACTTCGTTGCTGGCGATCTGTGCGATTTGCATGTCATTTGCATAGCCTAGGGCAGATGCCAAGCCACAAGACGCTGGCCGCCTGGTTTTCCATTGTTCCTATAATTGCAGATAACTAGATGTTGCTTAGGGGAGCGGTGGGGGAGAAATACCATAAAGATTTGACCTCCGGGCATGTCCAAATCTGAAGTCCTTGTTGAGCTGGGGCCTGGAAATTTGAGGCTGGCTCCCGAGTTGCAGGAGGTAGCGACGGAGGTCTTCGCACACAGAAATGCAGCGTGTCAGGGAAAAGGCAAAGTTGGGATCAAGCACAGAGGCAAGTTAGGCAATAGTCTACAGCAACCGTAACACAGACAAAGCAGGTAGGTAGCCGTGTTGATCTGCCGCAGTCGAAACAAAATAAAAAAATTAACGACTGCAATTGGTCTTACAGAAAAAAGCAAGGGGTGAGATGACCAAAAATAGCTATATCATGTACAATGAGAAAAGAATCCAATGTCTCTATTCAGACCAGGTCTCTCCGTGGTTTTAAGTTTGGTAATAAGTTGCAATTCAGCAACTTCCCTTTCCAGTCCATTTCTGAAGCTACTTTGAGATTTTGTATAGAATGTCCTGGGAGACTGGTTTCTCTGTCTTGTGATTCCTGATGTCAGATTTATGTCCATTTATCCTTTGGCGTACTGGGACACGGGTGGCGCTGTGGGTTAAACCACAGAGCCTAGGACTTGCCGATCAGAAGGTCGCCGGTTCGAATCCCCGCGGTGGGGTGAGCTCCTGTTGCTCGGTCCCTGCTCCTGCCAACCTAGCAGTTCGAAAGCACGTCAAAGTGCAAGTAGATAAATAGGTACCTCTCCGGCGGGAAGGTAAACGGTGTTTCCGTGCACTGCTCTGGTTCGCCAGAAGCGGCTTAGTCATGCTGGCCACATGACCCGGAAGCCAGTAAAGCGAGATGAGCGCCGCAACCCCAGAGTCGGCCACGACTGGACCTAATGGCCAGGGGTCCCTTTACCTTATCCTTTGGCATAGGGTTTGGCCTGTTTGTCCAATACAGAAGGCTGAAGGGCACTGTTGGCATTTGGTGGTATACAGAAAGTTAGAAGATGAGCAACTAAATAGTCCTGCGATGGTATGTTTGATGTTGTTGGGGCCAGGAATGGTGTTTCCGGGTGTATGTGGAAGTAAAGTTGGCATCTGGGTTTATTGCAGGCTCTGGTACAAAGCAGAAGGGGATCCTTTCTAGACCTGGGAGACCCTTGATCATCTTGGTCGCCCTCCTCTGCACACATTCCAGCTTGTCAAAATCCTTCTTAAATTGTGGGTGGCCAAAGGTCTGGAAACCAAACCTTATGAGGAACAGTTGAGGGAGTTGGGGAGACATGAGAACCACCATCTCAAGGACTATCACATGGAAGATGGAGCAAGCTTGCTTTCTCCTGCTCCAGAGGGTAGGACTCGAACCCATGGCGTCAAGCTCCAAGGAAGGAGATTCTGACCTTAAGGTCCACAAATAGCAACACCCTAGAGGTCCCGGGCCCTAAGGAAGTCAGATGAGCCTCAACCAGGGCCAGGGCCTTTTCAACACTGGCCCCGGCCTGGTGGAACGCTCTGTCTCATGAGACCAGGGCCCTGCAGGATCTGATTTCTTTCCGCAGGGCCTGTAAGACAGAGTTGTTCCGCCTGGCCTTTGGCTTGGAATCAACTTGATCCCCTTCCCCTCTTTCCTTTTCCTTCTGTGATGGAACTCCTATTTGGGGACTTCCCTGGCTTTTTTTCTGGCCTACCTAGGACCAGTCTGGATAGTTGACCTTGGTGAAGATTTGACGTTTTCATGCCCCCAAAAAGTTTTTGATTTGAGTTTCTACTGAAATGAGGCTGCATTTTAATGTTGTATTTTAATGTTGTTTTTAAGTTGTATTTTAATCAATTGTTTTTATACCTGGTGTTAGCCGCCCTGAGCCCGGTCTTGGCTGGGGAGGGCGGGGTACAAAAAAATTATATTTATGATGATTATTATTATGATTATTAAATATCAGGAAGAACTTTCTGGGAGCAGGAGCTGGAACGGTCTCACAAAAGAGACAGTGGGCTCTCATTTTTGGGAGGTTTTTAAGCAGAGGCTGGATGGCCAACTTTCAAGGATGCTTTAGTTGAGATTCCTGCCCCACAGGGGGGGTTAGACTAGATGACCCCTGGAGGACCCTAACTCCACGATTCTACGATTCTTACAGAAATAAACGACGGGCCTTAAGAACCCAAATGTGAGAATCTGACTCACAGGGTGGTGGTATTCAAGCAAGTTTCACTCAAGAGCAGACCCAGTGAAATTCAGGGGCATTAGGTCTACTTTAAGTAAGACTTAGTTGCATGCCAGCCGTAGTCCCAAAGCTTTGATGGTTGTCGTTGCTATTAATCCACAGATGTTTCCATTTGGGGACGACGTATCCTCCGGCCTAAGGACGCGCTGCCACCAGCCGGATGCTCAGCGGAAAAGATTTCTATTTACAGAGTTAAATCTCTGCGGCGAGGGGAAGACAGTCCCCCGACACGAAATTATGATGAAATGGCCCCGCTCCAAAGCCTGTTGTTCATCTGCGCTGGTGTTTCACGGATGAAATATCTGAGCAGCCGTTCATGTAAACACGGCCCCCTCTGATTTAAAACGCAATAAAATACTAATTAAAAAGAGGGGAAGGAAGGGAAATGCCAAATATTTCCTGCTAGGCCAAAACTCTCTTGCTTGCTAATGGTCAGCTCACAGGGACGGCGCGGTTTTTAGGGAATTTTCTCTCTCTTTCTGGGTTCAAATTCGACTAGCGATCATTTATACAACCGAGAGGCAGTGGTTTAAGATGCCGGACTAGGGACCTGGGTTCAAATCTCCACTCGGCCTCAGAACTCGCTGGGTGACCTTGGGCTACCTCTCAGTGCAAGCCTAATAATAATAATAATAATAATAATAATAATAATTTATTATTTATACCCCGCCCATCTGGCTGGGCTTCCCCAGCCACTCAGGGCGGCTTCCAACAAAATATTAAAATACCGTAATACATCAAACATTAAAAAGCCTACCTCACAGGACTGTTGTGAGGATTAAATGGAGGGAGGGGAGAGAACATGAATTTTGCCTTGGGGGGGGCAGGATATAAAAATCTGTCAGTAAGATATAACTTCAAAATTTCAGCGGTGGCTCCACGTTTGTGGAATGACCCCCCCTCCGCAAAAATACACATTGCCCCCAAGCATTTCACCTCAGTTAATTAAAGGAAAGCCCCTTCTTTTATTTTAAGGGCTGGTGGGTCTGTTTTTATGCTATCGTTAGGTATGTAACTTAGGAGTTTCTGTTTATTACGTTTTCATAGTCTTCTTTTTTTGCTCTGTGACCAATTTTTGAGGAAGCCTTGATGTAGAATAATAGAATCACAGAGCTGGGAGGAACCGCAATAAATATAAAGACTCGATGCCGGACAGCCCTTGTCTCAGGTGGCGATTCCTAATGAACTACCATTATACAAGGAATTTGCTACGACTCCTGTGACTCCATAGCATCTTCTCCCAGAGTGCCTGCTGCATCTCTGTCTGAGTTGCTGTCCTGGCCTCTCACCTCTTCCCAGTTAGCTTTCACCGGGGAAGTCGCTTGAACCCAAATCTACCTTCCCATAAACCAGGTGGGTTTGGACTTTGCATCGGCCCATCTAGTCCAGCACCCTGTTCTGACAGTGGCTGAACAGGTGCATTGTGGGAAACCCACCGTCAGGATTCGAACGCAAGAGCAGCGTTCTCCCCTCCTGCCGTTTCCCGCAACTGGGATTCCGAAGCTTCGCTGGCCGAGCCGAGCCATCAAAAGCCCTCTCCTCCCCTCCACAAATTGGTCTCAACCCTATTTTAAAGCCACGTTTAAGTTGTTGGCCGTCCCCGTCTCCTGTGGCATGGAGTTCCACAGTTTAAGGGAGTTCCCTGCGCCGCGCGAAGAAGTCCTTTCTCAGTTGCCTGTGTACGCCTGGAAGCAAAGGGAAGTTTCCAGCAAGTGTTCCAAGGTTAAAATAAAAAATGAGCTTGCTAGGTTTCGCGATGGTATCGAGCGAGCCTCAGCAATGGCGGCGACGCTCCTGCAAATTATCTCAGCCATCGAGCCGGGATGTTGGATAAATATATAGATTCAACCTTAACCAACTTTGTTTTGCCAGGGCAGAGAAAAACAGAGTGAGAGAAACCCTTCCATCTCATTTTAAAACAAAACCACACGATTTCGCACGGAGAAGCAAGACAGCCAAGCTGGGTTTTTTTGGAAAAAAGGGGCAGTTTCCTTGAAAGGTTGAGAAACATCCTCACTCTCCTACCCCCTGCTTTGGAGCTGTGAGGCATTAGATAAAAACGCTGCATGGAGACAGGTGTCAATCATCTCTGCCCCCCTCCCCACAGCAGGGGCAGCAGCAAGGAGGGTTGGATTGCCATGCAATGATCAAGTTTTGGCTTATTACAATCGCAAACCCGCAACCTTTTTAAGGGTCGAGAACTAAAACACAGTCCTGTAACCCAGTAATTCCAAAGCACGCTTTCACGAACCGCAGGAGAAGAAGTCAACTTTGAAGATGCAAAGACTGCTGGGTGCCCGCTGTCGCCACCCAGAAAGGAGTCTGCCCGCTGCACCCCTGCCAAAGGCCTGGAAACGATGCCTTATGAGGAACGGCTAAGGGAGCTGGGCATGTTTAGCCTGGAGAAGAGGAGGTTAAGGGGTGATATGATAGCCATGTTCAAAGATATAAAAGGATGTCACATAGAGGAGGGAGAAAGGTTGTTTTCTGCTGCTCCAGAGAAGCGGACACAGAGCAATGGATCCAAACTACAAGAAAGAAGATTCCACCTAAACATTAGGAAGAACTTCCTGACAGTAAGAGCTGTTCGACAGTGGAATTTGCTGCCAAGGAGTGTGGTGGAGTCTCCTTCTTTGGAGGTCTTTAAGCAGAGGCTTGACAACCATATGTCAGGAGTGCTCTGATGGTGTTTCCTGCTTGGCAGGGGCTTGGACTCGATGGCCCTTGTGGTCTCTTCCAACTCTATGATTCTATGATTCTAGGGCTCTGTTCCCCACCCCTTTCGATTCCTCTCTTCTAGGTGAGGGGCAGGTCACTCTACCACGTCTCTGTGTCGCCACGGACTGGGTCGCTGAATTGCTCCCAGCACAACTTAAAGGAGGTCACCCGCTGCATCTCTGCAAGAACGGTCACTCTGGCCTTGCCTCCTGCTAATCGATAGGCCGACATGCCCAGGACAGGGATTTGTGAAGAACCACGGGGGGCGGGGGGGAGCTGTACCAAGGGAGAATCATCCTTACATTTTTACACACTTGAAAAGGGACACCATCTGGGTGTTTGAGCAAATCGGTGCCTGCAGAGAAGATAAAGGTCGCTCAAGCAACTGAGCCAAGCTGCACGGTAAAAAAGCTTGAGCCTCAACCTAGCATATCTACCCAACTCAACTTAAATGCAAATTGCTCTCCACTTCGCAATAACCGGCAAAACCAAGAGCATATGTACCATAATTGATTTTAGATGGAGAAACTGCTAGGAATGTGGCAGATGACTGATTTAAAAAGGTAAAGGTAAAGGGACCCCTGACAGTTAAGTCCAGTTGCAGATGACTCTGGGGTTGCGGCGCTCATCTCGCTTTACTGGCCGAGGGAGCCGGCGTTTGTCTGCAGACAGTTTTTCCGGGTCATGTGCCCAGGATGACTAAGCCACTTCTGGCGAAACCAGAGCAGTGCATGGAAACGCCGTTTACCTTCCCGCCGGAGTGGTACCTACTTATCTACTTGCACTTTTGGCGTGCTTTCGAGCCGTTAGGTTGGCAGGAGCAGGGACTGAGCAACGGGAGCTCACCCCGTCGTGGGGATTCGAACCGCCGACCTTCCGATCAGCAAGCCCAAGAGGCTCAGTGGTTTAGACCACAGCGCCACCCGCTTAGTTAGCATTTAAAGACATACCTACTTAATTCACACTTCCTGCTATGCAAAACCAAGCACACTGTTTTCCTGAACTTTGCCCCCAAACCAGTGTTCGGAATTAGCCAGGCGCTGGGCGCATTTTGGACATTGCTGTTGGCTACTTGGGACCAAGTGAAGATGCCCGCAAGGCAGGATGGCCCCTGAAATCTCTACCACCAGGAGGTGGATAGCCTGAAGATCACTCAGGGTGGATTTGATTCAAATCAAATCGATTTAAATCACTCGTCAGTAAGATTTGATTTAAATCACTAGTCAGCAAGACTTGATTTAAATCATTTTCTTACAGAAAGACTCATTCTTGCTGGTATCATCTTAATATTTACAACCAGATGAAGGTTTCATTTTTTTATTATTATTAAAGATTTTCTTGTTTTACAGAAGTATGTGTAATGTCTCTCCTATTTTTCCCATGTAACATTTTTACAAATCAGTTTCATTTGTTGAGACATTGGGGTGGGGGGAGGTTTCATTTTTAGAATAATACATTTTCAGAGTAGTTTTTATGGATTTTGTATGGGGACTGATTTGTAAATCTGGGGACTGTCCCCGAGAAACGGGGACATCTGGTAACCTTAAGCTATGCCATAAGGGGCTGATGGGACTTGTAGTCCAGAAACTCACAGAGGGCACCGCCAGGGTGGCAAAGGCTGTCTTTCTCCACGAAGCCCGAGCGCAAAGCGAAACCTCTTGGCAGCGGGCCACGCAAAGAGGGTGGCATTGCTAAACAGCACCAGCTCCTGCGCTTCCAGCTGTCAGCACTCGTGCCCAGTAGCCAAAGCAAAGGGATGATAAATACGGCGTCGAGTTCGGCGGGCAGCAGACCAGAGGCCGTCCCAGATTAGTGCCAGCTTGTCTGCACCTGTCTGCACTCCATCCACTGCTCACGCCAGCTCAAGTGGCGAGGAAACAAGGAAGGAAGCCCTCACCTGCGGGGAAGAAGAATAGTTTGCGTTCTACGGGCCCCCATCATTCCAAAGGCTGCCAGCCGTCTGAGGATGGGGAATAAATTCAATTCAGTGCCCATTTAAAGGCCAGCCCACCTAATCTTCACTCTCAGAAACAGGGTGGATTTGATTTAAATCAAATCAATTTAAATCACGATTTAAATCACTAGTCAGCAAGACTTGATTTAAATCAATTTTTAAAAAACAAAACAGAAAGACTCATTCTTCCCGCAAAAAAGGGAAGGTTGACAGCTATTACTAAAATGGTGTCAAATTTTTGTGAGTACAGTGGACGCTCAGGTTGCAAACGTGATCCATGTGAGATGCACAATCGCAACCTGCAGCGTTCACAACCCGCGTCTGCGCACGCGCGGGTTGTGATTTTGCACTTCTGCGCATGCACAAAGTGTGATTTTGAACTTCTGAACATGCGCGACCGCCGAAACCCAGAAGTAACCTGTTCCGGTACTTCCAGGTTTCGGCAGTCCGTAACCTGAAAAAACACAACCTGAAGTGTCTGTAACACGAGGTATGACTGTATTAAAAAAAACCCCCGCAAATTGCTGCAAAAAAT